CTGGCTGACAGATGTAACCAGGAGTGTAAGAGATTCTGTTCAATCTGAGAGCTGGCTCTGAGGAAGTCAGACCAGTGTCCAGTACTATGGGTGTGTAAATAAAGGGTGATTTGGTGACAGGGTACTGGCCTCTGTGGAGGTATTTCGCTTAATTCATTTGTTCTCCCTTCCAAAATGAACATCATTTGATAGTTGCTTCATTTCACTGGGGATGCCAGGCAGGTGAGTGGGCGGGTGTATGACCAAAACAAGGGGTCACAGACTCTGGATATACAACCAGCCATTTTCGGACTCAGCTGAAGGGTGATTTCTGCACACAGAATGTGTATAACTCTGTACCACAGAGATGATGTATATGTTTATACCACATTGGTCAGGCCAGTTTTGGAGTACTGTGTAAAGTTCTGGTTGCTATGCTATAGGAAGGATATTATTAAATTGGAGACGGTTCAGAAAAGATTTACCAGGATGTTACTGAGATTGGAAGGTTTGAGTTATGGGGGAAGAGGCTGGATAGGCTGGGACCTTTATCACTGGAGCATAAGAGGTTGAAGGGTTACCTTATAGAGGTTTATAAAATCATGAGGGGCTTAGATAAGGTGAAAAGCCAAGGTCTAGAGGGGGAAAGATTTAAAGGGATTTGAGGGCAATGTTTTCAAACAGATGGTGATTTGTATGTGGAATGAATTGCCAGAGGAAATGGTAGATGCAGGTGTAGTTACAACAAAGATATTTGGACAGGTACATAAATGGGAAAGGTTTAGACAGGTATGGGCCAAACACAGGCAAACGGGACTAATTTAGCTTGGGAAACTCAGTCGGCATGGACAAGTTGGATGATGGGTCTGTTTCCATGCTGTATGACTCTATGACCATAAGTAATCACCTTTCTTCAATTACTGCTTCTCTGTTTCTAAACCATTGTCATTATCTCTATTGGATAGAAACAATCGGTGCCTTCACTCCTTGCCACCCCATCTGCAACCTTCTATCCTTCACCAAAATTCTTGAATGTGCTGTTGCCTCCCAAAATCCTTGTCTGTATTTCTCACAACTCTGTATTTGAATCCTTCCTGTCCTATAGCAGAACTGCCCTAACCAAGGTCACAATCAATATTCGCTGTGACTGATGGTGGTGCATTCTTTCTCCTCTACTGGACTGCAGGGTTGACCATACCATCCTCACTCAATGCCTCTCTTTTACCCAGCTTAGTGGAATTACTCCATGCACCCTGATACAGTGAAAAGTTTTGTTTTGCATGCTATACAAGCAGATCATACCACATAAAGTGCATCAGGGAAGCAGAACAGAGTGCAGAATACTGTGTACTGTGTTACAGCCACAGAAGGTACAGAGAGAGAGAGATCAACATTAACATTTGAGAGATCCTTTCAAAAGTCTGATAACAGTGGGGAAGAAGGTGTTCTTGAATCTGTTCATACGTGTATTCAAACTTTTATATCTTGTTTCTGACAGAAGAGGGTGTAAGACTGTATAACCAGAGTGGGAGGGGGCTTTGATTTTATTGCTTGCTTTCCCAAGGCAGTGGCAAGTATAGATTGAGTCAATGGATGAAAGGCTGCTTTGCGTGATGGACTGGGCTGTGTTCATGACTCCTTAGTTTCTTGTGGTCTTGGGAAGAACAGTTGCCATACCACGCTCTGATGCACCCAGATAGGATCCTTTCTGTGATGCATCTATCAAAATTGGTAAGACTCTTTGTGGACATGCCAAATTTCCTTAGCCTTCTGAGGAAATAGAGACATTGTTGTGCTTTCTTGACCGTCATGTCAACTTAGGTGGACCAGGACAGATTGGTGACCATCACTCCGGAACTTGACATTCTTGATTATCTTCACCTCAGCACCATTGATGCAGACGTGGGCATGTCCTCCAGTCAGCTTCCTGAAGTCAATGACCAGCTCCTTTGTTTTGCTGATGTTGATGGAGAGATTGTTCTCTCTACACCATGCCGCTAAGCACCAATCTCTTTCCTGTATTCAGTCTCATTGTTTGAGATCCGACCTACAATGGTGGTGTTGTTGGCAAACTTCTAAATGGAATTGGGGTGGAATTTGGCCACACAGTTGTGAGTGTAAAAGGAGTATAGTAGGGGGCTGAGTACGCAGCTTTGCGGGGCACCGGTGTTGAGGATTATTGTGGAGGAGGTGTTGTCACCTATTCTTACTGACTGTGGTCTGTGGGTCAGGAAACTGAGGATCCAGTTACAGAGTGGGGAACTGAGACCTAGGTTTTGAAGTGTAGAGATGAGTTTGTTTGGAATTATAGTGTTGAAGGCTGAGCTCTGGTCAAGTAGCAGGAGCCTGACATAGGTATCCTTGTTATCCAGATGTTCCCAGGATGAGTGTAGGACCAGGGAGATGCCGTCTGTTCTGGACCTGTTGTGCCAGGAGGCAAATTGCAAAGGATCAAGGCAATTTTGGTAGGATGGAGTTGATGTGAGCCACGACTAAATTCTCGAAGCACTTCATGAGGTCAGAGCCATCAGGCGATAGTCATTGAGGCATGCTTCTTTGGCACCAGGATGATGGTACTCTTCTTGAAGCAGGTGGGGACTTCAGATTGTTGTAAGGGGAGGTTAAAAATGTCAGCAAATACTCTCACCAGCTGGTCTGCACAGGATCTGAGTGCTTGGCCGGGAACTCGATCCAGGCCACTCTCAAGAGTTCACTTTCAAGAAAGCCAATCTAACATCTGCAGCAGTTACAGTGGGTGTAGGTGCATCTGAGCCTGTTGGGATAGGTGACATCATTTCACTGACCTTCTGTTCAAAGCGAGCATAGAATGCATTGAGCTCATTGCATAGGGATATGTTGTTGCTTGTGATTCTGTTTAATTTCCAGTTTAATTTCCTTCTCCCATATTGCACTGACTCCAGGAATAGGTTCTCTTCTCCCATCCCAACTTCAGGAGTTCCATAAAGATCTTTTCTGAGATGCTTCATTGTGCTCATCTACATTCCATCTCTCAGTGACATTATCTAAAGACATTGCGTCAATTTCTCCACAAATGCAGACAACACCTAGCCCCATGTCTTTGCTCCCACCGTTGAGCTTTCCAGTGTATCTTTGCAGTCAGATAATCAGCTCCTCCTAAACAAAAAAGTCAAAAACATCATCCACAAACCCTATCAGTTCTGGCACCAGTTCCATCCCATTCTCTCAGGCTGAACTATTTGCAGGCTTGATTCCATTTAACTCCAAACTGAGCTTCAGACCCTCCACCATAAAGGCTGCCTGCATCCATCTCCATAGCATCTGCCCCACCCCTCCCCATGCCTGCCTCATCCCATCTGCTCTTGAAATACTCACCTATGTCTTTGTCATCTCTGGACATGGTTATTCCAGTACTCTCCAGGCTGTTTTCCTAACCTCCACCCTGTTGCTGCAGCTTATGTAATCAATCCCATCACCCTGTATTCACTGAAGAGTGACTCAGCCTAAATATTTTCACTCAGGCCTTGAAATCTCTTCATGACCTTGTCTCTGGTTGTCCTTGTAACTTTCTTCGGTCTTATGACAACTTCTCTGCCCCTGTTTCTTCGCCTGTGACCTCTTGCTTGCTTCACCCTCAGGTTGTGCTTTGAGGCATTTAAGTCCTACACTCTGGAACCGTCTCCCTAGACCCCTGCACCTCTCTTCCTTTAAAACCAAATCTGCTCCCCCATTAACAAAAATGTTGGGTTTCTTGTCCTTTCGCCACAGTTTCATGCCTGTGTCATGCCTTGGGATCTTTTCTACATTAAAGGCCTTACAGTGACTATCCATTCTAATGTGCTCCAAAACACCACAAATTTGCTTATACCAAAGGATCTTATGGTGCCCCAAAGACAGAAATTTTTATTTAAATCATCATTTTGCTAGTTGAATGCAGGAGAAAATGGCAATTTTCTTAGTAACGTGGGTCTCGCTTTTTTGGATTTCTACATACATGTTAAAATTGACTATCTGCTGTACAAGCAAGTTGGTTTTGTTTGAAAAGGGCATTCCTTGCCAGAATCAGTGAAGCAAAGTGTCCTGTGATAGGATAGTGAAGATTAAAAGCTTATTTTTGAAGCTTCTTTTGAAACCTCCACAAATATCTAGGGCAGGGGAATGCAAATACTGGATTTTAACCATTAAACTGCCATCTATCAAGGAAATTTAAATCTGCTATTTTTGGGCAGTTTTGACAAATACTGTCAGCTGCATTAAACACAGATTATTATTATAAATGCTGTGTTGTGGGCATCAGTATGATTGTTGAAATATTAACCATACAACTACAGAGAGAATAATTCCTCTTGTCGGGATGTACAAAATTAGAGGCCATCTGTGTAGGATGGTCACCAAGAAAACCAGTGGATTCAGAACAAGTTAAACTGAAGGAGAACAAGGACTCAGTATCATTTTGCCTCCCCACTACCAAGTGGGTGTGTAGTACTGCAACCATCTAAGGGCTGAATGCATCACAAGGCAGACATGTTGATTAGGGGCTTCACAACTGTAACACTTGGACAGGCCAGTCTAATATAACTGCTGTAACAGAAAGCCAAAGCATCCTTCCAAAATCTGAAACTCACTGTAGCTTCATCATTCATTCTGTTCAGTCCATGAGTTATGATTTAAATCACAGTAGCATAATTAAGCCCAAAGCTAAAAGACACAAGAAGCAGAGATATCTTAAGAACAGCCCCTTGCAACACAGCCAGCAATAATTGGGCATCAATAATTCTTAAAGCAGATGACTAGTTTGGGTGAAGTCCTCATTTCTCAGAACCTGAGAAGTATTCTGATCATTTCCTTTGCATCCATTACAAAGAACAACAATTCAGTACACTCAGCCCTCATTTCCTTCAATCTTATACTGATTGGCTGCTTTTAGTTTCCAGTTTTGTTTGACTTTTTGAAATGAAATCATTCCTATTCTCTTCATTAGATTTTTGTGATCACTGTAATGCTGAACTCTCCACACACTACCCTCTTCCTCCAGGCTTGGGACCTTCTCCCAGACTCTTTGTTCTATGGCCTGGCCCTATAGATTCTCTTCATTTGTCCTATTATTTTATGTTCCACTCTTCCTAATCCTAGAGTCATAGAGTGCTACAGCACGGAAACAGGCCCTTTGGTCCAAACTGGTCCATGCCAACCAAAAAACAGTGGCTAAAGTTCTTCATCACTTTTGAACAAGTTCCACATCTGACCTCTGATCACTCCAATAGAAAGTAGATCTGTGTCTCGCCCCCAATCATGAATGAAAACCTCCAGCCTGTACAACAAATATAGTTAAATTTATCTGCACTATGACCTATTCCTATCCTTCCCCGTTACAGATGCCACAAACCATCCAGAACTGATAGACTCTTGAAAACATGACTGGATAATTGGCTGTAGGCACATACGAACAAGGAACAAGAATAGGCCATTCAATAAGATAATGGTTGATCTGATTTTAACCTCAACTCTGCATTGCTGCATACCCCCGTTAAGCTTTCTGTGTGAAGGCCTGTTGGCAAGCAGGTTTTCAAAATTCACAACCAGGATATATTGGCCAGCTCCTAGTAACCTTCCATTTCTCATCAAGGGGATATGTAAGTCTGTCAGATTGTGTCACAGTATAATACTGAACTGATTATCCTCAGCCCCTCATTGAGCATTTTTAACTAGAGCTGCATCACCTGCCACACAGCTGCCTGTGTCAGCGAGTTACTGGTTGCTAAGAAACATTGTCAACACAGCATCTGGGAGGGTGACCCAGAGAGATCTCATGAACGCTCCCTGGAGGCTGCAGCTGTCATTTTGGGTTCAGTTGTCAACCATCCCATGGTGACACCCCACCCCACTCCATTGTACTGTCTCATTTTTTATTCCCATTACATTAGGGTTGTGCTGCCCTATTGCCTCCATTAATATAATTTGAGGGTGGTCTAAAAGGGGAAAACTTGTAAGCTGGGCCATATGAACAATTTTGAGGAAATAGGACACAAGAATGCTTAACGAAAAACCTAGGACTTCTGGTTATTCTACTATTGCCTGATTAATGGTATAAAATTTTGTTTTATTTGGCCATGGAATGTGAGTGTTGTTGGACAGGCTAGTATTTCATGAACGTCCTTATTTGCCCTGGAGAACAACCCCTTCTTCAACTGCTGCAATCCTTGAGGTGATGGGTGCTCTTTGGGAGGGAATTCCAGAAGTTTGACCCAGTGTTAGTGAAGGAACAACAATATAGTTCCAGATTACAGTGATGAGTGGCTTTGTAGGGAATTTGCAGGTGATGGTGTTCCCATGTATCAGCAATCCTTGTCCTTCTAGATAGCAAAGATCGTGAATTTGGAAGGTGCTCTGAGCGATCCTTGGTGAGTTACTACACTACACAGCTTGTAGATGCTACATAATGCTGCCAGTCTAGGTGATGGGATATTGAAAATAGTAGGTGTGATGCCAATTATGCAGGCTGCTTTGTCCTGCATGGTGCAAGCATCTTGAGTGTTATTGGAGTTGCACTCATCTGGGCAAGTGGAGAGTGTTCCATCACACCCCTGACTCGTGCCTGTAGACAGGAATCAAGAGATGAGTTCCTCATTGCAGAATTTCCTAGCCTCTGATTTCCTCATGTAGCCACAGTATTTCTAGGGCTAGGCCAGTTCAATTTCTGGTCAATGATAACCCCTGGGTGTTGATAGTGGGAGCTGTACTAATGCCAATGCTTGTCAGTGGGCAACGATTAGATTTTCTCTTGTTGGGCTTGGTTATTGCCTAGCACTTGTGTGGGACAAATGTCATTTATCACTTATCAGCCCAAACCTGGATATTGTCCAGGTCTCGCAGCATATGGACACAGGTTGTTTCATATGTGAGGAGTTGCAAATGGTGCTGAACATTGTGCAGTCATCTGCGCATATCCCCATTTCTGACCTGATCGAGGGAAGGTCATTGATGAAGCAGCTGAAGATAGTTACCCTGATGAACTCCTGCAGAGATGTCTTGGAGCTGAGATGACCGATCTCTAACAACCACAACCATCTTCCTATGTGCAAAGGTGTGACTCCAAACTGACAAGAGTTTCCCCCCACCCTGCTACTTTCCCATTGACTCCAGGTTTGCTAGGGATCCTTGGTTTCAAGGGCAGCCACTCTCACATCTCTGAAGTTCAGCTCTTTCGTATATGTTTGAACCAAGGCTGTACCAAGTCAGGAGCTGAATGGCCCTGGCAGAACCCAACTAAACGGTCAGTGAACAGGTTAATGCTGAGTGAGTACCGACATAATCCATCACTTCACTGATTGGGCATTAATTGATTAGACAGTTCTCTGTCTAGAAGGAATAAAAAGTTTAAAATTGTCAAACCCCAGTAAAAACCAGTCTAAGTGGCACCAGTATTAATGGAACTCAATTTTCAGCTACTCGGTTAACATATTTTGCTGGTATTCATCATTTCCAAGCTTTAAATATGTGCAATGAGGAGCTGGCAACTCAACCATTCTGAACATCAAACCTAACTCCAACAACTTCTGATTAAATTGTGTTTTAGGCTTCTAACTGTGGAATGGGAATAGTGTTAATGAATTAATACTAGAAAGTTCAGAACTACTTAATGAGTCATGATAGGCAGTAAACTGGCCAAAAGGATTAGGAACTGATCAAAAATGCTTGAATGGTAAGGCACATTTAAAATTTATTCGATCCATACATTTACAATCATTCACACTCCCAAGAGACTGGGATAAATATGTGCAAATGAGAGGAAATCTCTGCATAAGTAAAATTTAATGAGATTGGAGAAAACATGCAGACTGAAATTGCTGAAGGTCATTATAGGTGCACCAAACTGGATGGGTCCCGTCCTGAATGAAGCTGGAGGTGCAACAATTAAGGCAAATATCTTTAGAAAAAGTGGTTGTTGTTGTTCTTGGAAGGATAACCTTCATCTAGAAGAAAAAAATTGTCCTGTTGCCTTTCAAATGAATTTGCCTGTACTCCAGAGAACCAGCCAATTAACAATGCGCATTATTTTCTGTCACCTAGAATAAAAATAGCAGACAGTGTGGAGAAAGATAATGGTAACCTCAGATTACCATTCCCACATCACTTAAATTAACTCTCACTACTTGAACAAACAGAGACTGTCACCTGTTTTTCCCATGTCCCTAAAAATGTGCATGAAAGACTATCAGGTTGTAAATTGTTCCTCATCTGATAAGCCCTGGAAACAGACACTGAGAAGGTGTGGCCCATGGAACATAAGCAATGATGGTTTCATTATTACAGGGCCATTGTGGGTGATGTCATCTCTGGAGGCCAACAAGTCAGAGTTGAAAAATGGAAAAAAAAGATAAATATTTTTTAACCAGACTTTTGATTGCCTTCAGGGAATCAAAGAGGTGTTTATGTTTTCTGTTCCTTTAGACACTCAATGGGGATTGCCTTAACATTGGGATACTTGTCCCAATGGTTCTCATGGAAAGGTAGAGTGGATGTGGATAATTGATTTCCATCTTCACTACCTTTTCCCTTCTTCTTTAGGACTTTAGTAGCATTTTGAAGTCAGCTTAATTTGACTCTCAGACAAAGCAACTAAACAAAGGTTTTCACGTTCTATTCATAGCAGACCATCTCCAGACGCCAGACTCTAAACACCTTGGATGGCTGTACTATTTATCTGTTGTATGTGGATGTGAAAGAATTAATACTGAGGAGGGCCATAAGAAGCAACTCCCCCATCCTATTATGATGTGCGTGTTTATATAGACTTTTGGGCACAGCAGCTTAGGATCTTAGAGGAGTCAGACCTAATATCCAGGTCCTCTTCATAGTTTTTCTAACAATGTCTACGATATCAATGTAATCTGGAACTAGTCACTAACAGGCAAGAAACTTTATCTTGTCAATTACAAGAGACTATTTTAGGTAGATCAGTGATGGTTTTCCTCTGCCACGCTAGACTGAACAGGATGATGGCAGTGACCTTCCTCATGAGTAGCAGCTCATACAGAATAATGATGTGACATCGCCATACAACAGTATCCACTCCTTGATGGGCCCTCTACAATTCTAACAGATGCTGTTTTTCAATGTAAATGTCCATCTGTGACGCAGTCTACTACACAAATGGACATAAACACTTGAACAGATCCTGACATTGGTTTCAAATCCATTTGGAATCTCTTGGTGTGCCCTCTCTACTAAAGTATCATGTGTAGTATTTTAAAGTGAAATTCCTTCATTATAGAAGACTAAGGGATGATGCAATTTGAGGTGTTTCAGAGGATTAATGAAGCTGAAACCATTTTCTTTGGAGAGGGAGTCCATAATAAAGGGTTCATAACCTTGAAATTAGAGGGCAACTGTACAGGGGTAGAAGTTAGGACTTGATTTGTTAAATAAGCTGAGCAACTGAGGCTTGACGTTTCATTTCATCAGGTCACCATTGAGGTGGTGGATGATCCTCAGGCAGAAATTGAGATGGATCTCCTGAAGGGGAACCGCAACGACTGGTCCATATCCTCAGCAGAATGGCTGTCTTACAAAGACATCTTCTGGCCTTTGTTTTGGGAGTATCCAGACTCAACCGAAGTTGGTAGCTTGGATTCCTCAAACGTGATGGACAGTGATGAAGAGGATGATTATACTGTCGAGTACGAAGGAGAAGACACGGTCCTCACCACCTTGGATGGCATCTGGGATAGGAGCTGGCCTTTGCAAAAAAGTTGGTCTTCCAAAGAGAATTTCAACAATGGTGAGTGCATTAAAAACAAGGGGTTCCTCTGTGTGTTACTGGGCGTCTTCTCTTCAAGGTAACAGGTATGACAATAATTGGGAAGAACATTGTGTAGAATGATTACATTGCAGATATTTCCAAATCCAGTTCTTCATACCTGTTCTAAGCAAGGCTAACAAATTAATGTTGAATTTGGCATTGGCTGATCCATTGAAGGTAACTTTTAACCTAATCCACTTGTCAGGAAACTAGCTGAATTTGATCGGATGCCTGTTTTACAAACTGCAAGGTATTTTCCTGATCTGATCCAAACCGGTCCAGTCACTTTTGGACAGATTGGACTTAAATTGAGCCCATGACAATCTTAAAATCCATTGCAGTTGTGTGGCTGCATAAGCAAGTCAAATTCAGTATTCGGGGCATACTGCACAACGGATTAACAGCTGGCACACCTGAGGTTCTATAGACACCCACTCTGAAGGCAATTTATGTTTTTAGTCATTTCCCACCATCCTTTTACTTCCCACATCAAGAGTGATGATTTTTGTTTAGTGTGGCATCATTGTAAATTTTCCAAACTACAATGCAGCCTAGCTTTCAAGAATATAGCATTAGTTATAAGTTCTCCTGAAATAAATTCACATTCTCTCTCTATCGCACAATCAAAGCTGAGGGCAAAACAATCATGTTGGTCTCCTAATCCCAGTCTAATGTCATCCCTTTGCACAAGGTGATGGAAAGTGGGACTGCCAACCCTCAGAATTAATAAGTTTTGAAAATGAATCCCCAGAACATTGCTGGGAGGATCCATAGAGAAAAATCCTGAGAGCATTTGGGGGTAGGTGAGCTCAGTTAGCTGGATAGCTAGTTTACGACGTAGAGTGAAGCCAGCTAATGAGGGAGCAGTCCTATGGTTCTCTAGGACAATGGCAACTTTACAGGGATTTAAATACATACTGAGATAACAAGGTGTAGAGCTGGATGAACACAGCAGGCCAAGCAGCATCAGAGGAGCGGGAAGGCTGACGTTTCGGGGCTAGACCCTTCTTCAGAAATGGGGGAGGGGAAGGGGGTTCTGAAATAAATAGGGAGAGAGGGGGAGGCGGATAGAAGATGGATAGAGGAGAAGATAGGTAGAGAGGAGACAGACAGGTCAAAGAGGCGGGGATGGAGCCAGTAAAGGTGAGTGTAGGTGGGGAGGTAGGGAGGAGATAGATCAGTCCAGGGAGGACGGACAGGTCAAGGGGACAGGATGAGGTTAGTAGGTAGGAGATGGGGGTGGGGCTTGAGGTGGGAGGAGGGGATAGGTGGGAGGTTGAAATGGTTCGCGACTGGGAGTTGGGGTGCGAACCATTTCAACTCCCCCTCCCATTCCTCAGACGACATGTCCATCCTGGGCTTCCTGCAGTGCCACAATGATGCTACCCGAAGGTTGCAGGAACAGCAACTCATATTCCGCTTGCCCAATGGTATCAATGTGGACTTCACAAGCCTCAAAATCTCCCCTCCCCCTACCGCATCCCAAAACCAGCCCAGCTCGTCCCTGCCTTCCTAACCTGTCCTTCCTCCCACCTATCCCCTCCTCCCACCTCAAGCCCCACCCCCATCTCCTACCTACTAACCTCATCCCGCCCCCTTGACCTGTCCGTCCTCCCTGGACTGACCTATCCCGTCCCTAACTCCCCACCTACACTCACCTTTACTGGCTCCATCCCCGCCTCTTTGACCTGTCTGTCTCCTCTCCACCTATCTTCTCCTCTATCCATCTTCTATCCGCCTCCCCCTCTCTCCCTATTTATTTCAGAACCCCCTTCCCCTCCCCCATTTCTGAAGAAGGGTCTAGGCCCGAAACGTCAACCTTCCCGCTCCTCTGATGCTGCTTGGCCTGCTGTGTTCATCCAGCTCTACACCTTGTTATCTCAGATTCTCCAGCATCTGCAGTTCCTACTATCTTTAAATACATACTGCTGGTTTTATTCTGCATCACAATTTAGTCATCTAGTCAACTGAGATAACCTATCCTGGAATCTTTGTTTCTACCTAATTGCATTCCTGGCAGTTCTGTGTCTCCCCCTGTTTGACAGAAAATGGT